GGGTGGACTTCAACTCCCAGAATTCCCCAGCCAGCATTCTGGGAGTTGAAGTCCACCCATTTTAAAGTTGACATGGTTGAGAAACACTGTCCTAGTTAGCTGTCATTGGTTCATCATTGCTACTGAACTTTGTAAGTAGTCACAGATTACAAAAGAAAGGATATGTTTTTAAGATGTATCTAATCATGGTCTGTTCTTATGGGCCAACGTTTCATCTTTGGGCCTTGTTTCATGTAGAAGTTATTGCCCTGTCCTGTAAATGTTAAATTATATATTTAAATGTGGGGAAATTGAAAGCATGCTGATTTAGTTTTAAGTTTCATGCTAATTTTTGCATGATTAGATGTTCTGTTGCATCCCTAATTTGATTTTCTGGTATAAAGTCTATGTATCTTTATATTGCTGTTATCCCTTCCACCGAAACTCTACATGGTTGTCTTTTGAAGTAGACCATAACCCTCCCATTCCATGATGGCTTGATGCCCTATTTATGTTATTTTCCTATCCCTGGAAAATGTAACCCCTGTGGCCTGTGTAAGCTCATCTATGTGATTAATAGGTGGTGTGTCTACAGTGCCTCAGATCCTATATCAACCTGGCATCAGATTGGGGGAGTTGGGGTCTATCAGGTGATGACTAAAAGTGGTGGACTATCACTCCTATCATCCTACTTGTTGGCATGCTGAGCTAAGCCTATCAAGTTTAACATCATCTGAAGAGCCACAGGTTCCTCACCCCTGCGCTAGGTCGTACAGTTTGGCTCTAGTGGGCATCAAGTTTTTTTTTTTCAGGGATATGAATGAACCAAGTATTTGGAAGCCAATTTTAGCATCAAGGTATCATCTCAAAAACCCACCCTTAACCCTGGGACTTTAAGTGTACAATCAATTAATAAACTGAAATCTGGGGTTTCAGCCCAGATACCATTCTCTTGAAATCAGTCTCAAATACATTGTCTTCCACTTTACACCGCTTACCATGAGCCACTATCAGGATTCAGTTTTTCTGCCAACTTTATATTTGGGTCTCCGCTGGCTTTAAAGAAAAGGAAGTGAAGCAATAATCAAAATAAGCTGAGATGACCCATTGTGTTATGGTCCGATAGACATGTTATTTTTCTTCAAAACACCCCTCAATTTGCTGTGGTAAATCTCAAGGCACTGTACCGACCAGGAGATTGGAGTATAATCTGTCAGATAATAGAAGGCAGAAGGACTTCGATAGCTGGTTGGATCAGCTGTTGATTTTAAAAAAAAATTGCCTAGATGTGAACCACCAGATGATGATGATTATATTTATATCCTGTCTGTTTTGTACAATTTAAGGCAGTGTACGTAAAGCTGCTACCAATTTCCCCAACAACCACAAACCTATGAGGTGGGTTGGGCTGAGCAGGAGTGACTGGCCCAAAGTCACCCAGCTGGCTTTCATACCTAATGGAGGACTGGAACTCACAGGCTCCTGGTTTCTAGCCTGGTGCCTTAACCGCTGCACTGCATTGGCCCTCTGGTTTGGTTCTCTTGCCAGTGCACTTCTTAATGCATTATGATAATCAGCATAAAGAATGGGGGGAACATTTAATATAACTAAAATAACAGGAAACTTTATTCATTATTCTGTAGATTTTAGACTTTGGCTTAGCCCGGCAAACTGACGATGAAATGACAGGCTATGTGGCAACCCGCTGGTACAGAGCCCCAGAAATCATGCTAAATTGGATGCATTATAATCAGACAGGTAAGAGTGAACATACTTTCTTATTGATTTGTACTATTACACATGAATACTCAGGGCTTGGATGGGAAAATCTTTATTCTACAGAGTCTCAGACTCTTGACTTGTGTATTTATGTCTTGGCAGTTGACATTTGGTCAGTTGGATGCATCATGGCAGAGCTGCTGAAAGGGAAGGCTCTTTTCCCAGGAAATGATTGTATCCTTTCTCCTACAACCCTGGCCCAACACATATACACACACAAATGGTAACGGGCTGCAGGTCTTGCTCTGCATTGAAATGCTTTTAAGCCAATATTAGTCATTGAGCAAAAATGCTATAGCAAGCATGTAGCAAATAGCTAAAGTGACTGTTTTTCATAGCTGGTAATAGCCATAAAGACTCAGAACACAAGTAGGCTGACTAAATTTTGTTCTTGTATGTTTCATTTAACTAATGACCAACATACAAGCACAGCTTGCAATAGCTGGTGGTTTGTGAACTGATGTTGAAGACCAAAGCTGCTGAGAAATTCATAATTTGTTTGGTCAGCCTGAAAGCCAGCAGCTAATGGTGGCTCTTTTTGGAAGCTGCCCTTGAAGCAAATTAAGGAACCAGGCAAATAGCTTCTGATATGATGTGATGGTTTTTAAATGTCAAGACCTGGTGAATTTCACACTTCCCACCCCAATTTCTAGGCTTACTTACAAAGATTTTGGAGACTGAGCGATACAAAGTGATGCTGATTCACAAGTAGAAAATATTCTCATTCATTATGAATGGAAAATAGGATCTTTATGTAACATTAGAAAACATGGTCTCTTTCAATGCCCACACAAGGCACTCCCTTGGTCTGGACCATTGTGACATCTCATTTTGGAAGAGAAAGCTATATACTCCTTCTGCATGAAGAATAATAGTGTTTAATGATGTTTTAAGCTCTTTCAAGCAAATAATGGCCTGACTGAAAATTGCCCAGTTTGAGATGGCGAGTAATGGTGAAATGCCTTCCAGTGACTTAAGAATCTGATGTTTCTGCTCACCTCTTTAACTTAATTGGATTTCTAAGGACTCTTTGGTGCCATCTCAGTGGATATATATCAATTGTGCCTTGTCTTTATCCCGTATGATCTTCTCCTCACATAACCTAAACTATAATTGGCTTGTTTGTGTTGGTTAATATGATGTGTGAGTCTACACATTGTAGCTTTATAATATGTGGGAACCAGCTGTGGCTTGATTAGCAACCATGGTTTTAAGAACGGCTTATTTATGATCCAGGCCAATCTCTTGGCAGAAGTGTCCATCTCTGCACATCATCTTCTCATTCTCCCTTCTGTTTTAAATGGCAGAGCAAAAGAGGTGGATATAACTTTTAACTGTATTCATGTTTTTTAGTATGTT